TTTAGGTTGTTTTTCTGGTGTTAACTTCATTGCTAATGTCCAAGTTCTCTTTTGAGTAGTTTCCCTGCAGTTTATGGGCTTTCCAACAGTAGAACTCAGTGTGTCTCTCTGGTACTGTTAGTCCGATGGAGAGACCACAATAAATTGTTGATAAAACTTACTTTTCTGTGACCAGAGTGTCAATTATGATGGATTGACTATGATCTAGATTTTCAGTGTAATGATGATCCCTTTTACTGTTTTAAACACCTAACCTTTAATTAGCCCCCAGTTTTCTCTGCTATTTATTTGAAAATCATGCCTGGATCACTGCATTCATGACTGCATTATGTAAATAGTGTAAACAGCCACAGAAGCAAAGGAGTCCTGACCTTCATCTCTGCCTCAGCAGCTCCACGGTACTTGGTTTCCTTCATTGTTCTCTTCAGGATATTGTTCGCTTGGATAGGTTTTCACTGTTTTGGAATCTTTTTTAACATAATTGATTAAAGTGCCTCTATAAATTGAATTTCCCATGTGGACTTTTTAAAGCCTCTGGAATTTGATAAGCTATTGTAACAAAAGAAGAAATGTTTCATGTGGCTTGAAATCCTCCTTGTATAGAGGAGCATTTCATCAGCCACAGTCTGCTCTGCTAAGCTCTGCTGGCACAGTGACACCTGAATCCCATAGTCTAACTGGCTTTTTTTTTTACCCTTGCCTCAGGGTAAGAGATTCAAGAAAGTTGTTTTGTTGTGTTCAGCAAGGAAGATACTGCCGAGCCAATGAACTAAAATAACATAAAAGTCCCTCTCTTCTTGGAGAGAACTTTGCATAAACTCTACAGGGTTTGCCACTCTGTGGGGCTCTTTAGAAATAGTTGTTTAAGAAAACTTGGAATAACTAGGAAACCTTCAAGAGTCTAAGCTGATATAAAAAAGTCAGGGGAGACAAAGGAGTGTTAAATACATCTCAAGTTTAATTGAAAATAAAACTCAGAATGGAAAATAAGCTTAAGGTTCAATCTTCAGGGCAAAAAAGCTGTAGTCTTCTGGGGTTTAGTGCTTCCAGCAACAGTGACAAGCAACAGTTAAGGATGAAAGCAAAATGTTTGGAGTTGAGAGTATTTTCCATTACTCTCACTCTGAAATGTGCCCATTTCTGTGTCTGATCTGCAGCCATGAAGTGGAAGGTGTACATATTTTAAGGCAGCAGGAAGGAATTGTAATTATGTCCTTGCAAGGTCTGTGAACATTATGTTTTTATCTCCCTGGGAGTTAGATTTTCTTAAATGCTCTCAACTGCTATAGCAAAACTCAATCAAAGAAAAGTCTCCCCTCTCTTTAAGACTGAGACAACAGAGGAAAAGGAATTGAAAAGTCATAGCTGCAGGTTTATCTCAGGTTTTTTGTATTTCAGGACTGTAAGACACACCTGGTTGTTCTCTAAAATCAGGCTTGTCATTCAAAGACTGAGAAGCAATGACAGAGCTGAGTGATGTACAAGTGTCTCTGACAGATTAACTGGGATCCGAACATATTTTGTTTGACCAGTATCAGCAGATACTGGTCCATAGCTTAGTACAGAATGATAACAGTTTAAGACTTCTGAACATTTTCTTAAATTCTTCCACATCTCATACACTAGACTTGAATCAGTTCAATACACGATGGGCAGTCACATGGCTACATGTAGGTTATCACTGCTCGCCAAGAAACACGGGTCTGTCAGTATTAGCCAGCGTGACAGCTGGCCTAGAGCACATTTCAGTGCTTGCAGTGTCATGAATAGAGCCACCCATCCATGGAGGACCTAGGGGTGCTGATCGACAGCCAGGTGAACGTGAGCCAGTGTGTGCCCAGGGCGGCCAAGAAGACCAATAGCATCCTGGCCTGTGTCAGCAATCCTGCAGCCAGCAGGAGCAGGGCAGTGACATTCTCATCCCTCTGTACTGTGAAGTGTTCCCCCCACCCCGTGTGGGCCTGTGTCTCAAGTCCTCTGTTCAGTTTTTGGCCCCTCACTAGCAGAAATGCATTGAGGTGCTGGAGTGTGTTCAGAGAAGGGAAACAAAGCTGGTGAAGGGTCTGGAGCACAAATCCCATGAGGAGCTGCTAAGGGAGCTGGGGTTTTCTAGCCCAGAGAAAGGAGGCTGAGGGGAGCCTCTATACAAAGTACTCGGTCTCTTTTTCCAAAAAGTGACGGGATGAGTCTTCACTGTGAGGATCATGAGACACTGAAACAGGTTACCTGAAAAGTTGTGGATCCCTAGAAGTGTCCAAGGCCCGGCTGGAGGGGGCTTTGAACAAGGGGAAGATGTCCCTGCCCATGGCAGCGGTGTTAGAAATAGATGATCTTTAATGTGCTTTCCAGCCCAAGTCATTCTATATGTCTGTGATTGTAGGACAAGAAGAAATGTGGTCAGGCTGTGCCAGAGGAGATTTAGATCAGACAGCAAAAAAAATTTCTTCACCAAAAATGTTATCAAACATTTGGACAGGCTGCCCAGTGAAACGCTTGAGTCATCGTCTCTGGTGGTATTGAAAGGTTTTGTAGACATGGCACTTAGAGACATGGTTTAGTGATGAACTTGACAGTAGTAGGTTTTACATTTGAACTCAATGATTTTAAGGGTCTTTTCTATATAAATGATTCTATGTTTCTTTATGCGTCATTAATTTATTCAGATTTATTGTATATCTGAGATATCAGGAAAAGTTGGAATGAGTTTTTATTGCTAATATTTTTCCACCTGCAATCATGAATAGAACTTGGGTTTATTGTCAAGAAGAAAGGAAGCAATATTCCAGTGGTACACTGTGGAAAAGAACAACAAAATATGTGCAGGTGCTCTTCTGTTCAATTAATTGAAAGATTGCCAAAGGCTTGGGAAAGGCACTTATTTAAGCTGTCAGCAGAGAGTTTTAAAAGGCTTGTCTCCTTTAGAAGGATGCCTGCTTACTCACAAACAAGGGAGAGGGAAAGATCCAGACCAAATATTCAGACAAGTATTTGTCTCACCCATTTTGAGTTAGAACTCTTCAAGCTGGTGGCTAAATTGATTCAAATGCTTCATCATGTCAGCTTGAGTCTTCATCCAGCTGCATAGTCTTTGCTGTAAGTGTTCTTTGTGGTGTTGAGAAGTAGCCAAGCATGTTTCTTTTGGGTAACTGGCTTCAAATTGTTGTTTCATTTGTATATTTTACAAGAAGGAAAAAAACAAAAAAAAACACCACGAGAACAAAACCAAAAAACTTCAGGGCATAAGTTCAACTTGTTTAGGCAACCCATCCTTCCCTGACCCCAAAAAACTGCACAAAGTACAACCCAAAACAAAAGCAAGTAGGGTAAATGTTCAAGGCAGGGAGGGCCTTTTTCAGGTCAGATGGTGCTCAGAGGCATTTGGTGTGTTAAAAAGAGGAGAGGATTCAGAGGATGATTTCCCACCATGCAGCAGGCACCCTCAACACATAGCAGCACCCTCCTTTTCCTGTTTTACCACAAAGGACAAAAGCAATTCTTCAATTCATAGGTCTCACCCTATTGATAATAATTTTAACTGAAACAGACAAAAATGTCTATTCTGAGAATCAGAGTGGATGCTTCAGGGTACTCTTTAGTTTCTGTTGCTATGATTTAAATGCATTCTTCATGCCATGTGTCCTTGCTATTGCTTTTAACCACTCAGTACAAATTCTTGTGCAGAAAGAGTAGTCAGTGGTATCCTTGCTCATGAAGCTTCAAAAAGTAAAATCTATTTTTTCTAGAGCTGTTTGTATAGGGAAATGAGAAAAAAAACCCGAAAAACAAACCATGCACAATATTTTTGTACACATAATGAATACGTGTCTAAATACAGTGCAGGATGAGAAGAATATTCTCTGCCTGGTCATGTGAGCAGTATGACATTGTATGATGTTCATTCTCCTGGTCTTGCCACTGTTCAGCAGCAGTGTATTGCTCTATTGCTTCCGTGGGTTACTCATCTTGTGGTGTAAGTCTTCATTCATGCAAGAAATTGTTTTCATATTTTGTGCATGTTTTATATATTGTTGAATATAGCCGTCAGTTTGTTTTTGTAAAACTAAATTGTCTCACCTTTAAATTCACATGCCTATTCTATTCTGATGGCAGTGAGTTGCTACTTTACCAGACTTTGTCTCACAGCATGACTTAACTTGCACCAAAACCATAATTCCCCTGGTGAGAGGCATCCTGAGGTGTGAATCAGGACAGCGCTTGCATATTTCCAGCAAACTAATCAACTGCATACCTTCTGATACCTATTAATTTCACTCCATAGAAAGCACCACTTTTGAAACTATTATGTTGTCTTTTTTTCCCCCCCAGAGAGTGAAAGAATAATCCTGTGTAAGCCTGACAACTTGAAGCCTGAAGGGAATTGTTGATTTTTTCCTGACCTCCAATGAGTTTTGGAAGCCTCTAAGGGCTTTCAAGTTCTGCTAGGAGGACAGGCCAGAATGATCCTATGGGCACACTGAAAAAAGTTGATTTATGGGTCTTGAAACATCTGGGAGTGTTTCTCTTAAAGCCAATTAGTTTAAAAGCTGGAGAAAATGTGAGATTTATAATTATGCTGGAGAAATACAAGCCAGTTGCTACCCGTGTGTAGTGATAGAAAACAGATCTCTTAACTTGGCACTGTTTTTTGGTCCATATCTCAGAAATTTTAGGCAAGGAAAGCTTGGTAATTTTTTTCTGAAAGGAGAGGACAATTTGCTTGTGGCCTCCCTTCACTCCTGTCCTGCTGTTAAGATATAAAAAATTATGAAGGTGGGCAGCTAGTTTGGTTCATTAGGCAAACCAACAGCTGGTGGGTCAAGAGGAGGAGGAGCACAGAACGCAGTTGCTGTCAGGGCTGGCAACAAGCCTGGACAGTGAGAGGTTTCCCTGCTAATCACACATACAGGTGCTGTACGGCACCCTGTCCAGTGGGCAATGACAGGCAGCACAACACATGATTGAACTGAGCAGACCTGAGCAGGACCCCTTAACCTGACAGCATGAGCCCAGGATGTATTGTTTTTCATGTCATTGACACAGTGTCAGTTCCTGCTCGCAGGAGATCAGGAGATTCATCAGTGGTTCATGGTTCATTGCTAGAGCAGTTACACACAGCTAAAGGAGAAGGGCTCGTTTGGGAGTATTCCCCCTGTATGCTGGAAAGTAATTTGCTTTCCAGATAATATTAATATTGTCCTGAAGGTAACATCATCATGCTTTCTCCTTATCCCCTCAAAAAAAATCTATTTATTTAAATCTTTTATTTGTTTATTTTAGATTATTTTTTGTGAAGATACTGTTTAATGGGTGGTCAAACAATATAGTTGCTGTCTGTTGCTATCACGCTGGCGTGGTAGTGTGGAGGAAGGGATTTAGAAAGGCCTTGGGAATTGGAAACTGAGGAAAAGATACATTTAGGTATGAGGAAAAGATACATTTATGTATGCCCCATTGTTTCGGGAAAGTTTCGCTTCAGCATCTTTATGTAAACCCCCTTCTCCCCACCCCTGAGCAGTTCCCATTGGACCTGACCCCTGGGGTGGTTCTGATGAGCCCATACTGAACACTGTCTCTATTGTTTAGACCTTATCTCTTAATTTTGCTGTATAAAACTGTATCTGGGCAGTAGCCCAGGGTCTTTTGTCCCTGCAACCGTTCAGGCAATACAATCTTTCTGGACTGCATACAACTGACCTCTCTTCGTCTCTTTATCTCGACTCCTTGCGGCGACCGAGGCGCACCGCCGCTTGGACCGTGCTAACCCAGCCGCTGCCTGGCGAGCCCAGTACAGCGGGACCGCGGCAAACCCCGGTTCCCTGAGGGGACAGCTAGCCGGAGGGGTCCCGGGGGGCCGGGGAGGGACAGGGGACAGCCGCAAGTGACCCCCGAAAGCCGCAAGTGGCGCACCAACGTGAGGCATTGCACCGGTTTGAGCGAACGCGCTGCGGCCGCCGCGGGCAGTTCACCGGTTGGGAGCTTTTCCGGACACTTTGCAATTGGTGTCGCCGCGAGCGACAGAGCGGCGAGCGGTGCGAAAAAACCGCCACGCAGGCTGTCAGCTCCGCGGGGAGAAGCTCTCGGACCGCGCTGGTGGTGTGGGCACTCGCCCTTCCACACAGCCTGGCAGGACTGCCACCGCGGGGACAGGCACCAATTTCTGTCTGGCGCTGTGTCCGTGGATGCGGACGGGACCTTCCTAACACCCGGAAGACTGTCTGCGGAGTCGGGAACCGTTGCTGCAGTGTGTTTTCTGAAGAACGGCGGTGGGTAAGTCTCGGTACTGGCGGCGAGGGTCCGGCCAGGAGACTGGAGTCAGGCTCCCGTGTGCCCAAGGGGGGACACGCCAGCGCGCAGGCGTGTCAGGAGCTCCGCCGGGTCTTTAGAACTTTGGGGTTTTTGCTGCAGCAGCTGGGTGAGATTTTGCTGTGCTGCCAGCGATGGGTGTTACGCTGACTACACAGCAGAAAGAGATTTATAAACAAGTTCAAGAACCCCTGCAGAGAGCAGGTGCAAAACTTCCTGAGAGCCTGGTGAAAGAGTTTGTCAGATGGGTAACAGTAAGTTTTTCGGAGGTAACAGAGCAAGAAGTGACAGAAAGACAGTTTTGGAAGCGTGTGGGTGCAGTGTTGAGTGAAAGGACAAAGGCAGGAGATCCCTCAGTGAAAGAAGGTTTTATGAGAATCTTTTTGTTCGTTTATGACTTTGTGAAAGAGAGTGCAGACACTCGGGACGCCCGGGGAAGAGAAAAGCGTCACATCGCGTCCCCTGTAACCCCCCGCGTCCCCGGCTTTGAAAAAACTACCCGCGCAGAGGTAGATTCAGTTCCTAACCCTTCTCCATCTCATGATTCCGCTCCCGCAGCTCAAAATCCATGCTTTGCACCCCCCACCCCCCTCGTGCAGCCACCACAAGATGGAGGCGGCACCGCGACATTCCCTTCTCCGTCCCAGAATTCCTTGCTCCCCGTGCCAGCCCAGAACACACCCCCAGCCCTCGTGTCCCTCCCTTTGCCCATCCCCAATCCCAATCCCTCCTCCCTTGCGGCGATTCAGCCCACAGTCCAGCCCTCAGCTCCTCCCCTCGCAGCTCCATCACCACCCCCTGCCCCCGCCCCTGCCCCGCTCCACACGGCCCCTCCAGCTGCGGGCACTCCCACACAAGCCGCCCCCCCCTCGCTCCTGGTTCCCTCGGCAACGGCAGCGCCGGAGCTGCCAGCTCCGGGACTGTCGGCTCCGGGAAACAGAAACTGGCCAGAGACACCGATCCTCCGTTCATGGCCCCAGTGGTTTATAATGCGAGAGGACAAAACCCTAGATGGGAGCCCCTTTCATACGACAGTATCAGGGAACTCTGCAAAACAAAACGGGAATTTGGAGAAAGGAGTGAATTTTTAAAGAGCATTTTAAAAGCTACTCTAGGTTCCAAAACTTTTGTCCCTGCTGATTTGAAACGTCTTTTCAGCTGTTTGCTCCCTCAATCTGAATTCAGATTGTGGGAAAGAACTTGGAAAAGGCTTGCAGGAGACCTCCTTCCAGAGATTTTGCAGAGTCCAACCCATTCCACAGATATAGAGGATGAGGAAATCACCTTAGAACATCTAGTGGGTGAGGGTGATTGGAGCCAAGCTGAGAAGCAAGCAGCAGGCATTCCCAGATCAGTGTTAGACCTGTCCAGGGATGCGGCAGAACATGCATTTTTTAACATGCCTTCTAAAGAACCTATCATTTCTTACACCGCTTTAAAGCAGTCTGTTGCAGAGCCGTTCATGGATTTTGTGGATCGAGTGAGAGCTTCAGTCGAGAAAAGGGTGCAAAATCCAGAGCTCCAAGATCAGCTCACACTAGAAATTGCCACCACAAATGCAAATGAAGCCTGTCAACGAGTCATCCTGGCCCTTCCAGCATCGCCTCCACCCACACTCGATCAGCTCATTGAGGAGTGCACGAGAAAAGCCACACTAATGACAGAGGACTCAGTGATAAGTCCGCGGGAAAGGGTGGTTGCTTCAGCAGCAGCAACCCCGAGAACTCCAGGGTCTGCAGGGCCTCCTCCTTCACAAGGGGGGAAAGTGGGAGCAGGGGGAATCTTTTTCCTTTATACTGGCAGAGCAAATTGTACCTTTTTCAGAGTTAGTTTACCTTGTTATATGATTTTATCTTTCTTTCAGACTAGCAGAATGTCAATTTCCACATTCCTGCTCATCGTTTGGTTCCAGAAAATGGCCATCTACCCGTACACGGTGGACGCGTGGATTGTTCCACAGCCCAAGAAAAATGTGTGGGTCACACTCGCCCAAGCCTTGAAACAAGATCACATGTGTTTGTCTACTGCCTCAGCAGAAAATCTGATGTCCACATGTTTAGTAGGGGTTCCAAGTAAGGGGGATGAGTTCCCAATTGGTCTGGTCCGCTCGCAAAAGCAGGTGAACGAAAATATAATACCTGAGGCAGGGGAAGAGTTCTATAGGCACCGAGGAGCTGTAGAACAAGTTAAAATACCAGTGCAAAACCCCCTCATTTTGTGGCAAAAGTGGATCCTACACTTGCCCTCTGCTGAGGGAGAGCCCCAGGAATTAGAACTCCTGGGCTCTGCAAAAGCTGAATATTGCATTCAATTTGATTTTTCCCCAACCAAAGAAGTAAAACTATATGAGCAAGTCAAACAGTACAAGGTGGAATTCAGGGCGGGTCAATAGTGCACAGCTGTCTATAAGCTGAAATTTGCATCCACCACTGATTTCCGTCCCCGCAAGCTGGACAAAGGAGTGTTTCTTATCTGTGGGGACAGAGCATACCCAGGAATCCCCTCTTGTCTTATCGGAGGTCCATGCATTTTCGGGCATCTGACTCTTGCTTCCCCCAACATGACCCAAATTCCAATCGGGCGAGCAAAAGGTGAGACAAAAATTACTAAGCGAAGTGCAAGTCAATTTGATGAACATTGTGATGCAGAAATTTACCATTGGGCAAAATCCAAAAGAGTTGCCGTCTCTGTGTTTTTACCATGGGTTGCGGCAGCAAAAGCATTGAGTGAATTAGGCAATCTGGAATGCTGGGTGACGAAGCAGGCAAATTTAACATCAGCAGCCCTGAGTGACCTCCTAGAAGACGAGGAAATAACCAGAAAGGCTACCCTCCAAAATCGGGCAGCTATTGATTTCCTGCTGTTGGCACATGGTCATGGATGTAAAGAGTTTGATGGGTTGTGTTGTTTTGATCTGTCATCTAAAGGCCAGAGTGTCCACTCGTCCATTCAGGAAACGAGAAGCCTCAATGGGAGTGTGAAGCAAGAAAATGAGGATTGGTTTAAGGATCTGTTCAAAGACTGGGACCTTTCTGGGTGGGCAGTGTCTCTTTTAAAAGACATCTTTTACTTTCTAGTTGCACTGTTTTTAGTTCTGTTAGCATTTGGGATTCTTAAGCGAATCATCTCCAAAGTCATCACCTCGAAGCCTAAGGCTTCCACACCTGTTCTCATCGCTGCTGCCGCCACGGAGGGCGATTGGTGGGAAGACGACAAGCAGAAAGACACCGCAGTTTGAGAGCCGCAGTTTTACCTGCTCCCAAGGCACCGTTCATCTTATTAAGTAAAGAAGAGGGAGATGTTGCTATCACGCTGGAGTGGTAGTGTGGAGGAAGGGATTTAGAAAGGCCTTGGGAATTGGAAACTGAGGAAAAGATACATTTAGGTATGAGGAAAAGATACATTTATGTATGCCCCATTGTTTCGGGAAAGTTTCGCTTCAGCATCTTTATGTAAACCCCCTTCTCCCCACCCCTGAGCAGTTCCCATTGGACCTGACCCCTGGGGTGGTTCTGATGAGCCCATGCTGAACACTGTCTCTATTGTTTAGACCTTATCTCTTAATTTTGCTGTATAAAACTGTATCTGGGCAGTAGCCCAGGGTCTTTTGTCCCTGCAACCGTTCAGGCAATACAATCTTTCTGGACTGCATACAACTGACCTCTCTTCGTCTCTTTATCTCGACTCCTTGCGGCGACCGAGGTGCCGCAGCCGCTCGGACCGTGCTAACCCAGCCGCTGCCTGGTGAGCCCAGTGCAGCGGGACCGCGGCAAACCCCGGTCCCCTGAGGGGACAGCTAGCCGGAGGGGTCCCGGGAGGCCGGGGAGGGACGGGGGACAGCCGCAAGTGACCCCCGAAAGCCGCAGCTGTCCTTGGCTTCTCGTGCAGGGATTAGGGCAGCAGTTCTAGAAAACCTGGAAAAATTATTCTGTCTGGAAGTGCCTGGCAGAAAAGTAGTACTTCTAAGATATACTTACTTTGTGAAAGAATAAAGAAAAGCAAAAGAAAAGGCATAGTAATATGGGGTTCATCTCATCTAGTGGACAGTAATAATTTCTTGAGTGTCATCTATCTTTTGAAATTAAAATTACTGATAGATTCTTGCCAGTAGGTGAAAAATTCAGTTGTTGCAGATAAAAAGTTGACAACATGAACATTTCAATTCAATTCAGTTTAATTTTAGTATATTGATGGCCAAGTTGCACTTCATAATGAGGTAAAATATGCTGCATCAAAAGATATTTTCTTGAAGATCTCTTAGAGAAGTGTTCATGTATCCTGAGGAGTTTTCAGCTGATATTTTCAAAACTGCTGATACAAAATATAATCAACATTTCTAGGAAAATAAGAATGAAACAGAAGTTGCACTACCCTCTTTTTCAAATAGAAAAAATCTGTCATACCTATATTTTTTTGTTTAGCTGATGGTTTTTAAAATCTGTTTTCTACAATTTTATTGGAAGTTCCTGCTTTATTATTTAATAGGAATGATATTTCAATATTATTCTCTTCAAAGAAATTATGTAAACACTGCCAAAACTGTACGCATACAGTGAAAGTAAGTGCAAACATAAATAAATAAGCATGCGTTGTCTGTGCTGATTAACTTAATAGTTCTTTAGTCATTCTTGTTTTAGAAACGTGTGGCTTTCTCCCCCTATCCCAATGAATCTTCATATATCCTTTAAATTGTAAGTCATTATCAAAATCAATTCACATTTCTCTACCACCGTCCCGTCCCCTCTGTATTGTGTACCACCAATCTAATCACCAGCAATGTGTTCATGAAGAACTTACAATATTTTCACTGGAAGGTGTTATTTTGGGTTTCCATTTTTTATTACTAAACTCTGTAAGAAATAAAGCTCACTCTTGGGGTAGGCATGCATGTTAATTATGGGAATCTGCTGACTGATTCATTGGTTCATCTTTAAAAAAGTGTATGTATATATATATTTAAAATTCCAATCCTGAAATATTTGATGCTGTCGATATCTTCTACAGTCATAAGTAGTAACCAGGGTTCATTATTTTAGCTCTCACAGAATTACTTGTTTTAAAGCTACTCTAAATTTAACTTTATTACCAAGGTTGGTCTTCCAGAAACTATGTTAACAGCTTTCAACTAGCTAAAATTTTGAACTATTCTTTCAGACTGTTCCACTTTTTAAAAGTTATCACATAGCATTGGTGTAGCAATTCAGGGTAATGAGTAACTCTTTCCCATCTATTCCACTTCATTGTATTTCCGTGGAAACCTGCATTTAAGGTGCAAATGCCTGGCCTCAGGGGGACTCTAAGTTGAGCAGGATGCTGGCTTTAGGATTTAAATAAATTGATGATGTGATGGTGAGAATAATGGAAGTAAAATAACTTCAGTAGTCACCAATCTTTCTCTAGAATTTTGGCTGAAGACTAGTGTACTTAGATAAGGTTGTTAAGTATTTTCTTTAAAATTCCACAGAAGTTACTGCAGGAGGCACAGTTAGCAAGAGCTGAACTATAGGTAGTAACCTCTGTGGAAGAAATAGTTCCATTATCTTAAATAATGGAGTTCAGAGCAAGAAAGATAAAGGCATTTCCCCTTGTTATTTTAAATCCTCTAAGTGTTGGGATCAAAAATGGGAGATACATGTCTCTGTGGTATGAATACAGAAAAAAACCTAGAAAGCACAGCAACTATGAGATTTTTTTTAATGTACACAAGATTCTTGACGTTAATCTGTCATTGCAAAAGTTTTTCAGCTACAGTACTTGTCTTCTGTAACTGGAAGGCTTGACTGAATTTTTAATGAATGTGATGAGTTTGGGAAAAAGATCCTTAAGTGGAAACAAAAATGAAATTTTTTTTATAATAAAAAGGATGTGACAGATACAGGTAGAAAGTGATTTATAGCAGCTGACATGTGGAGCTCTTAGTCCTGCTTTGATTCTGTATGTCTTTTTGCCTTTGGTGTTAACCCTATGTCTGTCAGTAATTTTAATCAGTTGTCCCAACATAAAAGAAATAATCCAAAGTAACATCATCCCACCAAAAATTGATGTGATTTATCATAGCACAGAGATCTTTAGAGGGTTGGCTGGTGAAAGACTGTCATTCTGTGACACTCTCAGAAAGACTATTTTAAAAGTCAGAGGAATTACAAGGGTCAGTTCGGCAAAATCAGTATTACTCACTGAAAGCTGTAGAAACTTCTCTTGCTTGCATGCATTTTGTGACGTGCATGATCACAAAATTCCCAGTGGAAACTGGCAGAGTCAGATGTAGGCTATTAAGATGCAACGAAGTACATGTTTATATAAAGATCCAGACAGACATGATTGCAAATTCGGTCTTAAAGAGGTAACACTGAAAGAGTCACCATTATTGAAAGGCAACTTTTTGAAAAATGCTTTAAAGTGAGTCCTAAACAGGTGTCTCTTTTATATAGTGAGACTTTATTGTAGGCAGATGTACTTGTACCTATGATTCCTACTCAACTGTATTCAGGGGGAAAAAATGCTTAATTCTCTCTCCCATACAAAATCTAAAGCAGTTATTTTTAAAATCAGATAGCAACCATCAGTAAATTTTGATATGAATGGCTCATTTTTCATAAATTTTTAATTATAAATGAATTTAATTAGATGAAAGGTTTAAGAAGATTGTCAGCAAGAAAATATATTCTCTACACCTTTACAGCAATGGAATATTGGGGTTTTGGAGGGCTTGTTACTTGTTTTTTGCCCTCAGAAATGTTTTTTTTTGCAGGAATGAAAAATAAAGGTAGTTGGTGAGTATCTATGCTCTATAGAAATAGGTGACAATGGTAAAACCATGATGTGATCACTGAGGTTTAAAGTTTTTTGTAAATCATGAATTTATCTAGATAAGGCATTTTGTCTAGCAAATGGGCAGAGGTGATGTCTGTTCTGCTTGTCTGTGAGATGAATCATAGTATGAATATACCTGTCTTTTCCCTATTGCTTAAACGATCTCTTATAACAGATTATACTGTTTAGATAGCAAAGGTTAGATGAGATAAATCTTTCTGCAAACAGTTGAAGAGAATAGTCAGCAGATATTGAATTCTTCTGTAGCGTAGCATTTGTAAAATTAAAGAAGTAAAGTCTGTGGTTTCTAAGGAAAAGAAAAAATATGATAAAAAACTAATGCCACTGGTTTTGATTTTTTTTTTTTTTTTTTTTTGGTTTGGCAACAAAGTACAACCCTTGTACTCATACCAAGGGAAATTAGTGAGGAAAATTAACGATGTTCCTGTGTTGCTTAAGGCCAGCTTTTGTTGCCATAGGATGCTGTCCTCAGAAACATATGGATAAAGGACTTTTTTTGATGTGCCCTCTTTTTTATAGGGATGTTTTTTCTGTGTCTAGGCAGGCCAAGCACTCTTGTCCATT